GCCCCGGAGCGGATGCGACTGGGGACGGGGATGGAGAGCGTCCGGCAGGAGGGGGCTTTGCCGAGCTGGAGGCGTCGGCGCCGGCCTTGGGGAGGGTGAGGATTTGAACCTGCCCAGAAGCTGGAAGGGCCCTCCCCATGCGGGAAACGGCCTTGGTACGAGCTGGGCACAGAGCGAGCCGGTTGGAGTCGCCCGGCCTCCGCGCTCGCTTGGGATCCACAGGCGCCCCTCCCTCCTCTCCAGCTGGGGAAAATTGAGGGCTGCGCGGGAGCGGAACTGGGCTTGGGAGAGGCTCTGCTGGGGCACCTGGTTCCAGCGCCCATCCCATTTCACTGCCAGGGCCCTTCCCTCAGTTTCATCACCTGTCATCCGGGGGGATAAGTTCCCACCGCCTGGATAGTCTCGGCTGAGCCTCTGGCCCTGAGTGGGTTAAAGCGCCATCTCCCCTGCACCCACCTTTCCCTTACGACACCCTCTCTGCGGCTTCCTCCGCTCCGCCAATGTCGAGTGATTGACTGTTCCGCGAAGGCCCCTTGGGGTCACTTACCCTGCATTCAGCAAATAATCCCGAGCACCTGGTGTGTCTCAGGCCCGGTCTGGCCTTCCTGTTCGCCACCAGCTGCTCAAAGACTACCCCTATGTCACCTCCTCCCAAAGAATGGGGGGAGCCACCTTGCCCAGAGTCCCATAGCAGAGTGCAGATGGAGCCAGGCCTCCCTCAAGATTTCCCACAACCCTCTCCAGCCTCAAACCTTCTCCAGGACCCGAAACCCCCGCAAAAGGGGGTCCCCAAATCAAAGGAATACAAAGGAAAACAAAATATAAAGGTAAAGAAAGGGAGAGGAGAGATGGAATTAGTCTCTGTCATTAGTTTTTTGTTTGTTTTTTTAGGGTCTCCCTCTGTCACCCATGTTGGAGTGTTGTGGCAACTCATTGCAGCCTCAAACTGCTAGGCTCAAGCAATCCTCCCACGCCAGCTTGCTGAGCTGAGACTGGGGGCACACACCACTACACCCAATGTTGTCATTAGTTTGTCTCTCAAACATTTTTCTAATGCCTTGGGTGCCTGTCGTTTCTTGTCTGCTAGGACAGCTCAGTATTAGAGGATAAACTCCGAAATGGACAGCCATCTAAAAAATATGTTTTGTTTCCTTCTACTAATTGAAGCCCTCTAGCTGCTAGTTTAATGGGTCCATTAATTTCCAGTTCGTGTGATGGGCCCCGGGACCCCAGTGTGGGGCAGGGTTGACAGAATCTCTGCAGGTGGTTTGTGTGGAACACAGGAGGTTGTGAACGACCACATCAGCCCCAGCTAGCAACTCCCAAGCCCACCTGGCTATGGGGCCACTGGGTTCAGACCTCCAAGGATGCAGTTCAGCTGGGGATGCAGGTCCCTGAACGTGGTGGCAGGTGGACGGCTCCACCACCAAGCTGGCCATCTGAGTTCTGAAGTGTACCTCCTCTCACTCTTCCCAGCTGCCTCCTTCTTTGGGGACCTCCTAGGTGTGCTCACAAACTCCTGTTGATCACCCTGCATTTTCCTCGGCTCACCGCATCCTTCCCTCCAGATTGGAAGCTCCTGGAGGGAAGGAGCCTTGTCCAGATCCCAGAGCCCAGTGCCAGGCCTGGCACCTAGCAGGTGCTTGCTGAATATTGTTTGAATGAATTAACCGAAAGAAGTAGGAAAAATCATTCCTGTTTGCATACTTGTAGATAACTATTGTTAACATTTGCCTTTTTTTGCCAGACCTTTAAAAACACGTTTTCCCAGTCGGGCGCGGTGGCTCATGCCTGTGATCCCAGCACTTTGGGAGGCTGACGCGGGTGGATCACTTGAAGTCAGGAGTTCGAGACCAGCCTGGCCAATATGGTGAAACCCCGTCTCCACTAAAAATACAAAAAATTAACCAGGTGTGGTGGCACGTGCCCGTAATCCCAGCTACTCAGGAGGCTGAGGCAGGAGAATCGCTTGAACCTGGGAGGTGGAGGTTGCAGTGAGCCGAGATCACACCACTGCACTTTAGGCTGAGCAACAGAGCAAGACTCTGTCTCCAAAAAAATAAATAAATAAAACAAAACAAATAAATAATAATAAAATAACACGTTTTTCCATATTTGAATATGTCTATATAAAATATTTTTCCATTGGTATAATTTCATGAGCATTCCTCACCTCAAACATTTTTTATATTTTTCAGTGCTTACATTTTGCTACATCATGTTGCGTTATTGGATCTCTTTTGACTTTTTAAAAATATATTTGGCTCTTTTTGATGTTACATTGAATTTCTGTGTACATTTATACATGGCCAGATCTTTCCTGGGAAGGAATTAACCTGGTAATCAGTGCGTATGAACTTCTAGAATGGCTGTATCTAGACCCAACTAGATATTTCTTCGTATTTCCTAGAAATGAAATTCCTGGGTCAGAGTATGAGCAACCAGGTTCTTTGTGTGTTGCTTATTGATTGGTCTGAGTTGATCAATAAGGTTTTGCCCCTTGTCTGGTTTCTGTGTGGCAAAGATCTTTCCCCAGTTTATCATTTGGCTCTTATTTGTGGGGGTGTGTGTGGGTGTATGTCTGTGAGAGAGAGAGATAGAGAGGAGCAGCAAGTTTTTTTATTTTATCTGTGTGTGTGCTTTCTGATGAGGGAAACCTGGCGGCATTTATGAGCTGATGGAAAAGCCAGAAGAGAGAGCTCAGCTCCCTCAGACCCGGGAGAAGGAGGGACAGGTTAACAGGCTGAGGTCTCTGAGGACTGAGGAGGTGGGAGGATGCCGTGCTGCTCCCAAGGGACCTCCTGAGCTGGTGAGGACAGGAGGCAAGAGGGAGGGGCTGGGGGGGGGACACTTGATGAATTGGCTTTGATCTTCCCCAGAGAGAGTTGGAAAGGTCAGCGGAGGGGAGGGCCCCAGTCCCTCGGTGCTTCCTTCCTGGGAGGGAGCAGGTGTGAACACTCCCATTGACGACTATGCAGGGAGGGGAGAGCCTAGTTCAGGGGGAGTCCATGCAGAGCCACGTTCAAAGCAGGCTGTCCACATACAAACCACATGCCCTTGGGAATTGCTCTTCTCTCCGAGTCTCCGTTTCTTGTAGCTATTAGGAAGTGGCAGCTCTTTGAGTAAGTGCCCTTCCCTCTCCCATCTGCCGCCTTTGTCTTCCCTGTGGACAGACCCTGGGGGTGCAGAAGCTTCCAGCTGTGCAGTTGGCCACAGGACTAGGGGAGCCCCCTTCCCTTCCAGACCAGTGTCCACATACCCTCCCCTGTGCCAACACACCTTCCCCTGTGCCCACGCTCTCACCCACCACAAGCCTACTCCAGCAGGAGCACCTCAGCCTTCTGGGGTCATGATGAGCCGGCAGACAGGGAGCCAGGTGGACCAGCACATGAGAGCAAAACAGGAAGAGTGTCTGTCTTCACCTTCGCTGTTTGAAAGTCATTGTCTTCACCTTCGCTGTTCGAAAGTCATTGTCCCAGACATAGGTACAGGACCCAGACAGCCCCAATCATCTGTGGCCATCATCTGTTCCTTTCCCTTCAGTTTGGGGTGGGCCTCTTTCCACTGAGCTCCCACTAGGTACCAGACACGGTTACCTGACCTTACCAGACCCTCTCAGCCACCATGCTCTGTTATTCCCGTTTTACAGACAAGGAGACTGAGTCTCAGAGTCAAGCGCCTCCTCTTGGCCACAGTGAGATTGAGCCGCTAGCCGGGTGCAACCCCAGGCGAATGAGGCTGAACTACAGGTAGACTCCTTTCCCCCAGCAAAGGGTGTTTGAACCCCCCTCTGCCGCTGCCCAGCAGGTCTTGGTTTCCTCCGCACTTACACTGTAGTTAATCATAAGAGGACCTGCCACACGCGATGGTGAGGGATTAAGCAAGTCACAGCAGAAAACCACTTTGACCAGCGTCTGCACAGGGTCAGTGCTCAGAAAATACACGCCATTGTTATTATTAAACCACACAGCTCCAGGCCTGACAGTGAGCTTTTAATAAATGTTAACTCAACACTGGAGAAGCCTTCT